TCCCAAGTAGACTTTCCAAATAATTGTTGATAAATTTGTCTTTGTCATCCCAAGAGGGACTAATTTATCTTTGTGATTTTCAAGGGAAAATGTTATTCTTACAAATAAAAATGATTAAACTGAAGTTCAAAGGGGTTAAACAACTAGCCAAAAGAATTCTGAGTCATCAACGATGCAGAAAGACAACTCAAGTCTACTATTTACAGGATAGCGCTCTATCTCAATGATCACACTATTTTAACTAAATACATTTTACTGTATTATCACTTTATTCAATTAGATACTTCAAAAAAGCACAAGAAATTCCATTAAGAATCAGAGTAGGTAATAAATTGTGGGGGGGGGGGGGGATTTGACCCTAAATAGGAATTCTGAAGATGATAAATTAGACTTAATTGGAGAATTTCGCTTTCATGTGAAAGCCAGCAATGGATACCAGATTATCAATTTCTCTAAGTATATCCTCAAAAAACTTATTTAATTAAAAAATGTCTTTCAGAAGAAATATGGCATTATTTTCAGAAAACAGTCCTAAAATGACAAAAATGTTGTATGCCTTTGCAAACAAACATTTCTCTTGATATATTCAGATGAATTTCAACTCTCCTTGAGAGCTAACCCAACTATAAAAAGGGGTTTTGGATTTAGAGAAATTTCTATTAACTTTGAGAAGACCTTTAAACCTTAAAAGAGTTAGTAACGTTTCCCCCATAAGAAAGGTAAGATAGTTACAAAACTTCAGATCATGTCAGTGTTCTTGTTCCAGTTACCCTAAAAGACTACATACCTCAAGGGAAAAAAATTTCTCTCCCTAAAGGTAAGCAAGGCACTTCAAATCAGCATCATGGTCACTGGCCCGGATACCTCCAGTGGGACCCAGTTTCTAAGAATACACCAACAAAGAATCTGAGTGATAACTTAGGAAGTTCTTCACTCCAGTCTCAAAGCCAGTTTCATTCTGTTCTTTGCCATTTACTGGTTCTTGTAGGAGAAATGCACAGCTCTACAATTCTACCGGTTAATTCCATTTCTTTGCCTGGTAAAAATCCTGTAACTACAGCTTTTAATGTTTTAAACAGTTTAATTCTACCCTATTTCCACTTCTACACCAATGCTGAAAAATGATATAGCTTCATCTTCACATAAATCATATCTGCAAACTGATTATCAATAAAATCAAACTTTAAGTCCCCAGGAAAGTTTACTATTTATGTGAATCTTTCATTTAAAAATATTTTTGGAGCGCCTGGCTGGCTCAGTCAGTTAAGCGTCTTACTTCAGCTCAGGTCATGCATGATCTTGCAGTTCGTGAGTTTGAGTCCCGCAACAGGCCCTGTGCAGACAGCTCAGAGCCTGGAGCCTGCTTCAGATTTGTGTCTCCCTCTCTCTCTCTGCCCTTCCCTTGCTTGAGCTCTCTCAAAAATAAACAAACGTTAAAAAAAATTTTTTAATAAACATTTTTAATCTGGGTTTTGAAATATCAAAGACAATGGGAGTTAACATTCTTTGTCTATTTTTAGATAGTTTAATTACATTATTTCCCTTACTCCCTACAATCCTGGGGAGGGAGAAGGTATTATCCCCATTTTACAGATAAGGAAAACAACTCAGAAAGATTAAAAATCTACCTTTCACCCTGGACTGCCCCAATGACCTGACTCTATCATACTGGTTCAAATTTTTATAAAATAGGTTAACAGCACAAATACTGAAATCATTTGACCTGTGTACCAGGATCAGTCGCAACACCAGATAAATAATCACAGGCCTGAAACTAGCTGTATAAACCTCAACTTCTCTTGTCAATAAAATGTGAATAATACTAGTTTTGCACAGAGCTCCTGGGATGACCCAATGAAATGTTTGTAAAAATACACTGAGCTATGGCTTGTCACTCAACAGCATTTCCTTAGTAAGTGTGAAAAAGAAAGGGATATCAGGGATTAGGAGTTACACATCTTTGGACTGTTCCACTAATTATACACAATACTGTTTTTATAATTAAAGAAATAAAAGTATGAAACAATTTGTAAATGCTAAGGGTTATTTAAATGTCAGGCAACTACTCTTTACCAAACAAATTCTCCTAGGGACAAAATAGGTTAAAATAAGCTGAAAAACTTTCTATTGTGAGTAACAGTTTTTTTTGGTTATAAGTTTCCTAACTGTTGGTTACTAAAGGAAAAGTCTGGAGTAGAAAAATTAAGTCCTATACTAACTTAAATTTAAAAACAGGAAAAAAATGATTAATAAAATGCTTCTACTTTTATTTCTAGTACCTACTTCTCAGGGGAAACTTATACAATTAACATAAAAGAAAATTAAAAAGTGTTTCGAAAAAAAAAATTTTTAAGCTATACAATAAGGCAGTTTAATTTTCTGGACCCACATAACAGTTTCTCATTTTTAAAAAATCCTTTTAACAAGGCTTTTTTATTAAACATGTTCTATAACAAGTTTTCTCTGAACATTTTCCCTATTAAAATCCTGCAACCTACTTACTAAGTGATTTTTGCACAAATAAACTTCTTATAGATGAAAAAGTTGGATTATTTTGTTAATCCTTACCCATAGTATGCTTTGAGGAAAATAGCTGGCACCTTTCCAGTTTAGGTCCATGTGGACAAAGTGTAACATAAGCAGGTTAGTATAAACACTTGAAAGATCTAGGTTGCCCACAAATATCTGAATCTCTCCACAGGAAGATCATATTTCAGAGCAGAAAGAAAAATTCTCTTTCATACTCATACTAAAGGGCTTTCCATTGGTTTTTCTTAAGACCACAAATGGAAAAAACTACTACAGAAAAAGCACACAACTCAGTGGTATCAAGTACACTGCCAAAGTACGATGTGAAGCAACTGAATTTTTTAAAAAAGCACTTTTCAAGCATTTTGGCATCTGGAGTAAAAGTAGCTATTATTAGTGGGTAATCCAAGAAAGGGTCTTATTTCCACAATTAAATTTGCATAAATTTATCTTGAATACCTAACTTTCCTTTTAAGAACACTATATTTTCAAGTTAAATATCCATTTGTTATCTAATGTTCCAATTTAGTTTTTTCTCTGCTAGTGACCAAATACTATAAATAAAACATTCAATGGCACCTTCAGGTTGTTGAACTATGTACATATAACTTAGAGGATTACTGACTCCGCATTGTTTGTCAAGCTTTTAAAAACTGTATTAAAACTGCACTTCCTAGCTTGATTTACTATGTTAAATATGCAATTATTTTTATTACATAAATCATATTAATAAAGACAACACTAAGGATCCACAATACCTTACTAAAAACCAAATTTAATAAATATGAAAAATGCTAGCAGTAAACCTTCAACTTACAGAAAATAATTTCACAATTTAATGGAAAATCAACGATAAAGAATGTTCTAATTTTTCTATCATTTAACTTTTATATCGTTTTAATTTTTACACTTTAAAATCCATGAACAGCAATACAATGTCCTAAGGGGTAAGATGATATTCTTTTATAGCTATGACATCACTCAAGAATTAAAATCTTGGGAACGCCTACCATTGTGGTTTACCATGGACTATGATATGTAAATTTTAACCATTTTTCATACTAAAGAACAATGATAAATGCAGCAACACAAGCTACATACATCTTAAATAAAACCTTCTTTCAAAAGCCAGTTTGATTCTGGCTGTGGGATGTTCTTGATTTAGAAGCAGGGAGAGGCAAGGCAGTATAGGGTCTGAATGGAGTTCCAGATCTACTGTAGGTCAACTGTGATTTGATCTGGGGTTTTCTTTAGACACCCAGCCAAACTAAGGCTGGATTCATAGGTCCGAAGACAAATCAGAACCATATTACCCTCGAAGGAGATGAAATGGATTGAAAAATCTGAACATTTACTTTAGTATGAATCTTTATCTTCCAGGTCTTGCAAAACAGATGATCTGGATTTATATGAGGTTTCTTTTGTGTAAGAATTGTTTTAAATATCTAAGAGCATTATCATTTTATTCCAAGGCAATTTCTAGCTCGTAAAAAGCGAAGACATTAAAATTATAAAATTAAAAGAGAGTAAGGCACAGAGAATAAACTAGACCACCAGGAAATACTTTATTAAAAATCTTCTAAATCTAGTAAAAGTGAGCCAAAAGAAGTGCCAAGTTCTCCTGTAAAGCATTAGGCACGGATGCGAACTTGAATTACTGTACAAACCTACAGAGTCCCTGGAATCCCTGCCTCGCGAACTAAGTTCCCATTCCATGGCAGAGCCAACACTATTTAACTCTTTCGCACTTCTCCAAATTTACCCTGTGTATCTTCGCAGGCAATAAAGTATTTTTAAGTCTTTCTATACTTTGAGTTAACGATACCATCTAAACCTAACGACTCAGGAAATAAGACACCACACTAGTCAGATTTTTAGGCTTGTTCTTACAAATAAATCTGAAAACCAGCTAACTCCTGACCGTTGTCTGCCTTAAGATAGCCGACAGATCCCGGTCAGTGCGACTCGTAGGAAAGATCAATGGGAAGGGGAGGTGAGGAGAGGGTGAGTGCAGACGCTTGATAACTGGAAAAGTAAAGAAGTAGTCGAAAGTGTCAGAAAAGCGGAGGAGGGTCTCCGAGAGAGAGAGTACAGGTCGGAAAGGTAGGGGAGGTTGTTTAAGCCACAAGGGGAAAGGCAAGCCCGGAGGAAGAGTGAGGAACTACCTCGCGGGACGCAGGAGGAGAGTTGCAATCGCCAAGGGCAGGTGAGCGAGCGCGCAGGTGGGGAGGGGGCTTGGCATCCTCGAGGATGGGAAGAGTTCAGGTGAATCGGGGAGAAGCAAGGCTCTGAACACCAAACCTGTGTGAATCGAGCGGGGTGCGGTGGGGGGAGGCAAACTGGAAACACGGCTCTCACCACGAGCCCCGCCGGGACAGAAGGAAATCCCAGGAGGAAATGGCTCTGGCGGCGCGGGGGCGAGCCCCTGCGCCCCCCCGACACCACCCCGGGGCTGCACCCTCGGAGGTTACCTTTGAGCTGGGGCAAAGGGTGCAGCTCCGCTTGGCTGCCCTGGCTGCGGAACTGCGACGAGCCCTGGGAGCGCTTCTGCCTCTGCGCCTTGCGCACCGATTTCCGGGTGAAGCCGTCCACTTTCTCCGAGGCCGAGATGGCGGCGGCGTTGGCAGCCCCCGCCGGCGGCGACGACGACGACATCGCCGCGGCCCTGGCGCTTGGCAGCTCCTGCTGCTGCAAGCACGGAACGGGCAGCGGCAGGAGGAGGAGGCGGGGGAGAGGCGCGGAGAGCTCGCGCCCCTCCGCCCCGTCCCCCCGGCCGCGCCGCCCTCCCGCTCCGGGGCGCCGCCGAGCTTCTCCCCGCCGCCGCCTCACGGCCACATCTCAGTGCCGAGGGTTCCTGGTCCCCGCCGCGCGGCCACCTCCCGGGGCTGACGGAGGCAAGGGCGGGGGCGGAGGAGGGTGAAGAAGTTGTTGACTTCGGGCGCGGAGGGCGGGTGGAAGAGAGCCTGAAGTTTGGACAACTGAGGCGAGGGCGCGGGGGTGCGGACGCCGAGCGCGCCTCTCTTCTCTTCAGCCCAGTTCGCCAGCCGGCCGGCCCCTCAGTGGCCGCTGCCAGCGCAGCTGGCCCTGCCTGCAGCCTCCTCCCGAGGCGCTGCCATCGCGGGTCCCCTCCGAGCCGCCGCCGCGGTGCCCGCTTTTCCTTCCCTGTCACCGCCGGACCCTCATCTCCAGGGGCGGTGACCCACCGCCCCGGCTCTGGGCGCGCACACACTCGCTCCTCAAGGCTCCGAGCGGTCCGAGCCCCCTCCCCCACGCACCCTTCCGCCGCCCACGGAGAACCCCCAGCGAGCGACCGCTACAACTTGAGAAGGTGGAGGGTGCACGCAGAGGTGGAGGGAGTGTGTGTGCGTGTGCGCGCGCGCTAGGGCGCGCGGCCCGGAGGAGGGGCCTCGCGGGGGGGGGTGGGGAAGGAGGAGATTGACTGACAACTTCCGCAGGGTCCCGCCAGCCTTTCGGACGTTCGGGAGGGAGTAGGGGGTGGGAAAACATGCCAGCTCCCTCAGCCAATCGCAGGGCTAAGCGGCGGGAACGGGGTGAGGCGTGGACTCCCGGAGGGTCTGTTAAACTGAGAGGTTTGGCCGAGAAATGGGGCGTGGTTGTGTGACGGACTTCTGCGACAACCAATCGTAAGTGAGGACGGAGAGCCGTGCGCCGCTTACGTCACAACAGGGCGATGAATTCTTGTGGTGGAGGGGAAGTGCCCCGCCACCATCGAGGGCCTTTGCACGCCTGCGCGACAAGCCGAGAGCAAAGTGGTAGGTCCCTTCCCTTCCCTCTCCTCTCTGCCGGCCAATGAGGAGCTGAAGCGACTGGTGGGAGTTTGAGATCTGCGGCGGGAAAGAACGCCAGGAGTTACATCACTGAAATGGGCGGAGCAGAAGTCGGGTAGGGGAAACGAGCAGCGGGATTGACAGGCGAAGGGGCCCCGAGAAGGCGAGGAAGTGAGCCGGTCCAGTCGGAGCTAGGCACAGGAATCATGGGCGGGCCTTGGAGCCTCCCCTGGCCCCAAACCGCGTAATTGGTAGTTGCGGAAAAAATTTGTAGCTCTTGAGTGGCTCAGGCACCGTGGTTCCGAGAACTGTTCTCGCGCCTGGTGCGGGCAGTCTAGCATCTCTGCTTCAGAGAGTTCTCCATATTCACACCATCCAAGAAGAGGTTTCTCATGCCCAAGTTAGTATCCCACTAATTTTCACCCGTTCTTCAGCCACAGGCCTTCAGTATTTCCAACAGAACGAGTACAAATTCGCTCATCAGTGACTTCTGGATTTGGGAACTTGCCATTTACTCTCATTGTGATCTCTTCCTCGGAGATAACGACTAAATTTTAACCTTGTTAAAGTTATGTTTTGTGTGTGTGCTTTGCGTATCATGATGCTTAATAAAAATAAGTGAGTTGATTTGTATGAAAAGTACGCAAAGGGAACTAAATGTTCTCCACCCTAAGACTCTCACTACCCAAATTATTAGAAAGTACTAAGAGAAATTCAAAAATTGTTTTGTCTTTTACGAAAAAATGGATAAACACTTGCAGAGTGGAAGGAGTATAAAAATATTTTAAGCCTAAATTTAAGCCTAGAAAAATTTTAAAATTAAATAAGTGAGCACAACATTGTCTCCCCTTTGGCTTGGTTTTGTGCTGGTGGGCCCATATCTCAATTCCTTGTCCCATGAGCTGCAGACATTTTCGTTTTGACTTGATAATAATACGTGCTGTTTATCTGTTTAAGCAAAAGTACCTGATGCATATGTACAGAAGATTCCAACTTTGACTAGGCAGTTAGATTCTAGATACAGAAACAAATGAACTGCCTCAAAACATTTCCTTCCTCAAATTCATGAGTGGTAAATCTGTGTCCAGTTCTCCCAGTCAAGGAGGGCCAAGCTTCAGCAGCAGCTTGGATCATCCACTCAAGCTCCAGACCATGTTGAATCTACATTCACAAATGGTCCAACCAGGCCTTCTCACAATTTGCACAACCAAACATGTGGTTCAGGGCTCTCAACTTCACTGCCAGATCAGTGTTTAAGAACACTGTTTATAGGGGCACCTGGGTGGCCTAGTCTGTTAAGCATCGACTTTTGATTTTGCCTCAGGTCATGATCGCACAGTCCTGAGATGAAGCTCTGGATCCATCTCTGCAATGAGTGGGGAACCTGCTTGGGATTCTGTTTCTCTCTGCCCCCCGCCCCCCATTAATAAAATTTTAGGGCCACCTGGGTGGCACAGTTGGTTAAGCATCTGATATTCAGCACAGGTCATGATCTCACGGTTTGTGAGTTCCAACCCCATGTTGGGCTCTGTGCTGACAGCTCAGAGCCTGGAGCCTATTTTGGATTCTGGTGTCCCTCTCTGTCTGCCCCTCCCCTGCTTGTGCTCTGTCTCTCAAAAATGAATGAACATTAAATTTTTTTTAAATATACAAAAGAAAAATAAATAATTTTTTAAACCTTAAAAACACTGTTTGTATCTTATTCACGTTTGAAGAACCATCAGTTCCTACAGAATAGATTCCAAATTCCAGGCTCTCTTCAAGCTAACACCTATCTTTCAAGGCATAAATACCACCATTTCCCTACACAAAAACTTTATTCAGATCAGACACATCATTCCACATACATATCTCCTAGAAGTAATTATGCTTCCTTGACCCTCAGTCTTTACTTTTCCAACATCTTGAAATAATCATTTTTCCCCATCTGGTTGAAACCTATCTTTTCTTCAAACTCCAGCTCAACCCCTATCTTCTATGAAGTCACTTATGATCATTTGGCCAGTTTTGTCTCCCTTCTTTCCATTGCCAAAGCATTTATTGTCTATGTCACTCACATGGCCTATCATCACATACCATTGGAGATGGCACTATACTCTTCCTCCCCTAAAGTTCATAAACACTGAAAGACCAAGAACTGTTATTCTATACCTCCATATCCCCTACCCAGCACAGGATAGACAGAAAGTACATAACAGTCTAATTTTTAGTTCTCAAGAGCAGGGTTTCTGAAAGTGTGGCGATTCGATCACCTACATCAGAATCCTCTGAGGTGCTTATTTAAAATACAGATTCCTGGACCTCACCCCAGAAACACAGAATGAGAACCTATGGGAAAAGTACTGAGAAATCCATCATTCATAGCTCCCTATCTCATTCTTATGCACACAAAAGTTTGAAACTACTATTCTCTGAATATTATTTTAAAAGTTGTAAATGTCTAAAAGTCAGAGGCAGTACCATTAATAATAAAGAGTATTTACATAGAATATGAAGGGAAAATAAATAGCAGAAAGCAAACCAGTAGAGTAAAGCTAAAATTCATACCGGTGGGGGGTAGGGGGTGGGGGTGGGGGGAACACCTGGGTGGCTCAGTCAGTTGAGCGGCAGACTTCAGCTCGGCCAACTTCAGCTCAGGTCATGATCTCCTGGTTCATGGGCTCATACCCTACATTGGGCTCACTGCTATCAGCGTGAACCCTTCAGATCCTCTATCCGCATTTCTCTCTGCTCCTCCGTCGCTTGTGCTCTCCCAAAAATAAATAAATGTTTTTAAAAATACTACTGGAATATGATAATAGATAATAGAAAATAGATAACACAATAGGTGGCAAATCTATCTAGGCTTTCTGAAATGGCCCCTTGAGGAAGAATTTTGAACACAATTTTGAAGAAAGAGTCAAAACCTGAAAAGAGAGGATAAGGTTCCAGATTCAAGTCACCAAACATCTTGGGGAAAATGGGAAATGGAAAGACCAATAGCTCAAGAATCGAAAGAAAATACTTGGCAAAATGAAAACTATACACATGATAGCCAATACACTTATGATTTTTCATGTACTGTCCTCAGTAAACAAGGTATCTGGGTCCTAAAGAGAGACTTGGTCACTAAGAATCATCTATCAGAAAACTGCAATTGCAGTACTAATCTGTGTGTGCCTCTGATGCAGGAAGAGTATTGATGATGATCCCACGCCATAGATCTCCTGCGTCTTCCCATCGGTGAAGACCCTTGGTAAACAGTGATTGAGAGGCCAAGGCTTCATCACTCACAAATTCTTTGGATTAGTTTGTCCTCACATGACTTGATTTCCTTAGTCCGTAAACATGAGTACATTTACTGATCTCATTCGTTTGTTCACAATGCCTAGCTTGCTGAGGGAAATGAGCAATTCATGAAACAACAACATCCACAAGAGCAAATCATAGTCCTTTAATAGTTTTAAAGAGTGAATCAGAGAGAGTGTTCTTTTCAAATCACCGAAATTCTCTAAAACATATCCAAGCAAGGTTTTGGTTGTCAACATTCTCTTTCATTAAGGGCCATGCTTCCCAAACTGAGCTCTAATAGAGCACCACACAACTGTACTTTATCTGCAGATTCAAATAATGGTGGGATTTTCCAAATTTACAAAAAAAGAACAAAATTTCTCCTATACAGTTTTCTTAAAAATTTGATTCTCACTACCACTTTATTGGAACCTAAGTCAAGATAGTATCTGATTTGTCATAATTAATTCCACCATTATTCATTAATTCACTAATGTAACATATTTGTATTTGCATGCTGTATGTTAACAGAATTAGAAAGCCGAAAGAATGCCAATGGCTGATGAGTACAGGTTTGGTCAAGCTGGTACCTGACTCAGGGCAGACCAAGAAGGTCCTTCTCACATGCCTCCAACTGTTACAAACTGGAAAGTCCTTTTTTTTTTTTTAATATTTTATTTATTTTTGAGAG